TCCTTCCTTCCTTCCTTCCTTCCTTCCTTCCTTCCTTCCTTCCTTCCTTCCTTCCTTCCTTCCTTCGTCTAGAGACCTTGGACATAGGACCAGACAGTTGTGTTTATTTGCAGTCTTTCAGCACTACATAAAGTTATTTCCCTTTCCTGAAGCAAATATAATCAGACTCATAGTATATACTATGGCCTGTGGCTTCATGGTTATGTTCTTTCTTCACCTGACTAAACCTCACCTGTCCTTTAAGACTTGGTTCCAGTGTCATCTCTAAGAGGCCATCCCTGCCCTTGGTTTTGGTCAGATATCCTTTCCCTTGCTCCCATGGCTCCCATGTAAAGTATTAATATTGCATTCATCACACAGTATTTAAATGGTCACCCTCTCACCCGCCTGGAGGTAAGGAGCTGCGTTTTTCTCACATTTTTCACAACGTGTGAGTGATGCCTAGTGAGCAGTCGATAAATGTATGCTGAGTGGATGGATGGGGAAGCCATTAGAGTAGATTCTAAGCCTTTATTATGCCATGGATCTCCTTGGCACTCTCGTATGTAGACCCCTTCTCAGAATAATATTTTTAATAGCATAAAAGAAATGCATGAGATTACAAAACAAAACCAATTATACCGAAGTATAGTTATCAAAATATCTGAAAAACAAATTTGTCACATGTCGTATGTGCATCTTTGTTTACACATTAAATAATAACCTACAATAGCAGTCAGAATTACTATGGTGATTTTGTAGTGAGGAGCATACATTATTTTTTTGTTATCTAAAGTGTACTGTGATTTGGAATTTTCCATAATTTTATAGGTGACAAAATATAGGTATTACTACTACTGCTGTAGTTTGTTGCCTGTTTTTATGGTTGAAGGAAATACTAAATTACAGATAGAGGTTAGCAAAAATAAAGATATAATCTTTTTTCTATCCAAATTTACATTATCCACCCCACACGCATTCCCACTGCGCTGCTCCATCCCATAAACCTGCATGGACCTATAGACCCTAAGCGAAGAAGTCCTTCTTTAGAGACACCAGAAAAGGTTAGTCAGCTAGTGTTGTGGCTTGGGCAC